GCTGCACTCCCTCGTGGGGCGGGGAGAGGAGGAACAGGAGGGGAAGCACCGTTGTTCTGTCCTTGGAAACCACTGAAGGGGGGAATGGGCATCGGACGTGAGGTGCCCAGGGATGGTTCAAGTGAGGTGCCCAGGGATGGTTCAAGTGAGGTGCCCAGGGGATGGTTCAAGTGAGGTGCCCAGGGATGGTTCAAGTCCAGCTGAGCCAGCTGAGGGCAGAGGCTGTGCCGGGAACCGCTCCCAAGGGTGTCTCTGCCACACTGATCTCACACCTTCAAAGGCTGTGTGCTCCTCAGGTGTTTCCCCACTGAGCCCAAGGGGTCACAGCAGCCCACTGGAGATGCCTGTTGTCCATTGGGCTGCCTCTCTGCACTGCCGTGTATTCCTGGCTAGGAGAACGTGTGAAAGCAGGAAGATCAGATTTCCTTCAGTCTGTTGTCAAGGTTTCTCCTCAGCCTCCTGTTTCCAAGCACTATTGTCTTTATAAATAAGCTTGTCCTCCCCCGACTCCTATGGTGTTGTGAATGCAGGAAAGGCCTGCTTCTGTAGTTTATAAACATGATTTATATAAGTGCAATCAAGTCACGGTATTAACTGCCTCTAGTTTGACTACTCTGCAGTTCACAGAATCACAGAATCCTAGGGGTTGGAAGGAACCTCAAAAGATCATCCAACCCCCCTGCCAGAGCAGGATCACCCAGAACACATCACACAGGAACGTGTCCAGGTGGGTTTTGAATGTCTCCAGTGAAGGAGACTCCACAGCCTCTCTGGGCAGCCTGTTCCAGTGCTCTGTCACTCTCACAGTAAAGAAGCTTTTTCTGATGTTTATGTGGAACCTTCTATGCTCCAGTTTGCACCCATTGCTCCTTGTCCTATCACTGGTCATCACTGAGAAGAGCCTGGCTCTGTCCTCCTGACACTCACCCCTTAACATATTTGTAAACATTGATGAGGTCACCCCTCAGTCTCCTTTTCTCCAAGCTAAAAAGACCCAGCTCCCTCAGCCTTTCCTCATCAGGGAGATGTTCCACTCCATCATCATTGTGGCTCTGCACTGGACTCTTCCAAGCAGTTCCCTGTCCTTCTTGAACTGAGGGGCCCAGAACTGGACACAATATTCCAGATGTGGCCTCACTGAGGCAGAATAGAGGGGGAAGAGACCCCCATGACCTAATAACCACACCCTTTCTAATACACCCCAGGATGCCATTGGCCTTCTTAGCCACAAGGGCATTGCTGGCTCATGGTCATCCTCCTGTCCACCAGGACCTCCAGGTCTCTTTCTCCTACACTGCTCTCCAGCAGGTCAGCCTCCAACCTGTACTGGTACATGGGCTCGTTCTTCCCCAGACGCAAGACTCTACACTTGCCCTTGTTTGATTTCATCAAGTTTCTCCCCACCCAACTTTCCAGCCTGTCCAGGTCTCACTGAATGGCAGCACAGCCTTCTTGTGTGTCAGCCACTCCTCCCAGCTTAGTGTCAGCAGCAAACTTGCTGAGGGCACACTCTGTTCCCTCATCCAGGTCATTGATTAAAATATTGAATAGTACCAGTCCCAGTAAATAGCCTTCGAGATCTGTCAGGAGAGCAAGTTTTGCCATAGCTATGTCCAAGGATCAGGCTTGCTGAATAAGGATGTTATCTTCAGTCACTCTAAGGGTCAGAAGCAGAATTGAGTTCATGTTTCATTTGTGATTTAACTTCCTTTTTTGGGGAAAATCTGCCTACATTTAAGCCTTTTGCCCTAGTATTTCAACAAGCACACACGTGCCTGTCTCTGAGTGTATTTCAAACCTGAATGCTTACTGCCCCCAATGTGCTGCAGTGACTAGCCTCTCATCATGTGTCTGGGACAAGTGAGAAAAAAAGTTGTTGTGGTTAGGGGCAGAGGTGAGCATTTTCTGAGTCATGAACTTGCTGCTCCACATAGTGCCTGCACAGTGGTGCAGGAGAAACACTTGCTAAAGGAACACAAAGGTTCAGGTTGCTCCTGGCAGTTAGTTTCACCTGCTCAGCTGCTCCTCAGACAGAGGTGATAGATG